TTAGAGGCTACTTCTGTGGAAATTCTTCGAGTGGAACTGAGGATAAATTAATCTTGTCTGTTTGACAGCCAAAAGTAAGTTAATCAGAGAGTTAATTAATACATCTTGCATTGTGTTTTACTTTACATTTTAAAATGATACTTGCATTTTTGCTGCAAAATCAGTACTTGCAACATTGGCCGTACACTACAAGGATAAAATAGATTGAAATTATGCAGCACTGCAACATCTTGTGACATAAATTTAAGTTACCTTATGTTTCAGATTGAAATGTGGATGCTGCCTAGACTTATACACTTCAGCATACAGGTCTTGTAGTGAAAAGTATTTTGATCATTGTGAGCTCAGTTAAGTCAAAGAAGGAAGACTTCCAACTGGCTCGGTGACCAAAAAATGGCCTGGATGAGTGCAGCCCCAAAGAAGCTTGACACAATCCAGGAAAAAGCAGCCTGCTTGATTGGCACTACATCCACAAGCATTCACTCCCTCAACCACCAACGCTCAGTAGTAGCAGTGTGTACTGTCTATGAGATGCACTGCAGACATTCACCAAAGATCCTCAGACAGCACCTTCCAAACCCACGACCACTTCCATCTAGAAGGACAAGGGCAGCAGATATATGGGAACACCACCACTTCCAAGTTCCCCTCCAAGTCACTCACCATCCTGACTTGGAAATATATCACCGTTCCTTCACTGTCAGTGGGTCAAGATCCTGGAATTCCCTCCCTAATAGCATTGTGGGTCAACCCACAGCAGGAAGACTGGAGCGGTTCAAGAAGGCAGCTCACCACCACCTTCTCAAGGGCAACTAGGGATGGGCAAGAAATGCTGGCCAGCCAGCGACGCCCACATCCCACAGATGAATAGAAAAAAATACAAAACCTATATTATTACAGAGGATGGAACAGCCCAAAAATTGCCAAACTAAATGTAGGGATTGAGAAAGTTTAAATACCTAGGTTGTAATTTTAACTCTGCCTACCAAGCTGGAACCGAGTGAGTGGGTGGTTAGAATTATTGCAGAAGGCTTGCTATTCTGAACCCTTAGTGGCTGTTTCAACCATACAGTTTAATAGTTGGCTGAGGTGCCCATTAAAAGTAGGCAGGAAACTCAGACATGCAAATTAGCTTGCTCACGCACTACTAAGAACTTAAAATTGCCAAAGTCTCAAAAAAACACACAACTTGCTTATGAAACTTAGATGAACTGTTCTCTCAGATAAAAAGAAATGAATTGCTGGAGAAGCTTAGCGGGTTGGCATCATCTGTGGAGATGAAAAACAGAGGTAGTTTTCTGAGTCCAGTATGAATATTCTCATAGTGATGGAGGCAGCATTTAAAAAGTGCACTCAGTTGGGCCTTGAGGACCCCTGTATAGCATTGTGTGGTTGGGATTGCCAGGAGAGTTTCCAGATCTATTTTTTCAAACAAAATGAAACAGAAGCTTGAAAATTAAAAGAGCTGGAGAAAATGCTGGGAACACTCAGCTGATCAGACCTTTCAGCTGATCTGTGGAGACAAGGAAGTAAGGTTAGCATTTCAAAGTGATGGGTGCATCGATCATCAATTTGAAAAAAATAACCTTAACATTCTCTATCTATAATGGTTGCTTGGTCTATTCGTTGCTGACAACAGTTTCTGCCTTTATTACCCCAGGGAGAGCTCGGCTTACATTTAGAAAATTACGAATGCAATTTGATAGTTAGCATTTTGCATATACAGTCCCTGATATTGTCCAAACTGCTCCAAAGTACAGCAGGCCGATTTGACTCTGTTGGGAACTAGAATAATTATGAAACTGCAGTTAAAATTTGGTAAATTTAATATAGATTGCTGTTTGAAGTTGAACATGTCATCAGAAAATATATCTCTTCACTGCAGATTTCTGAAGATCTTACACAAGATGAGCATTTGTGCTTGTAGCATTCAACTTGTCTAATATATATGGAAACTGATTTCTGATAATGAAAGAATTATTTCCACAGAGAGTATCAGTGATGTGACCTTTTGTTAAAAGTGCATTACATGACAGTAAGAAAATAGGGATGGTCTGAATATAACAGAATGGATTTTGTGTTTGATTAGGGGTCATTAAGTTGAGTGCTTTGAAGCTAAGATTATAAATGCAGTGCAAGATATCGTCTCTGAGTCAAAAGTTCAGGTTCCACTCGAGACTTGAGTATATAACATTAACTATTATAGTACTGAAGGCATGCTGAACTGTCAAAGAGATTTTAGGTTGGAATTTCAGCCCCACCGCGACAGCTTAAAACTGAGGTACGCAGGGGTGAAAAATAGCCCCTATACAGAGGGTGTATTTGGTTGCATCCTGCCTCAGGGCCATGTTCACAGAGACAAGTTGGCACTGGCAGGACTACATGCCCACAAGTAGCGGGTGAGTAACTTGGCTCAGTAAAGGCCACGTAAGGTCAATTAAAGGAAACCAACTGAGATTTTCCAATCAGCCTCCAGCAGGGGCCAATTTGGGTGCATGGAGGCAGCGTTTGGCAGCAGTCCAGCAGCCAGGGGTCTGAGAAGGCTCGCGAACTGTATTGCTAGTACTTTCAAGCTGAAAGGCCTCTGACTGCTTCTCCAGCTTTGAGAGCAATCCCCAGCCTGTCTCCAAGCCGCTTAAGGAATGTCCCTGTGGGAATCCGATGTTAGATGTGATTCTGCAATTGAACAACATTTGCTGGATAATCCAGAGTTGATGAAGAATTGTGCTGACAACTGATTTAGGATAGTTAAAAGTTGAGCTCACAGTGTGATGCATTTGTGTGTACTCGAAGCTACTTATATTAATTCATAGGACTCACTCTGCAGCAGTGGTGAAGTTTATAGATCTTAAGTTCTCAATGAATGGCTGTTGTCTCAAGTTGCATTTTTGCTGACTTTGAGGTGGAGTGGACTCAGGGAGTTGAGAAACTTCTAGGTTTTTCTTGTTATCACTTCATATTTATTTTTCTTTGACTTTTGCTGCTTAAAGCAGCTGTTGATATCGGACAATATTTATAGTCCTAAGTCTTTCTCCCATCACTTTGCCAAACTGAATACTCTATCACCTTTCAACTCCAAATATGGGAACTTATTGTGCAAATGTGTTGTCTGGTTTCACTGTCTTTGAGAGATAGTAGTTTCAGTGTCAAAGAGTTTTGGATATCCCTATGGTTTCACAAGACTCATCTTAATCTGTTGTCAGGTGGTCTTAGCAGTCATTTTAAGTGCATATTTGTCTTTTTATAAAAACCGCTTTAGTCCATAAAGGTCTCAGATGTTAAAAATCAGATGATAGAAATTGATTATCGATAGTCCATGTTCACCATAATCTTAACAAGCTGACAAAATCTCTTCTGTTACATCTAATGAAAGGTGACCTAGTGAGTCAAATAGAAACCCTGGACAGAGGTAAAAATAGGGGAATGTGTCTTCCCTTATGACAGGGATCACATGTAGGAGGAAGCAGCTCTGCAAACCAGAGTGCTAAACACAAATTAATGGTTGGTCTTGCTTTGACAATTTATTGCAATGTCCATGATGATACTATATAAAAAAAAAACTGTGGAAGCTGTAAATCAGAAACAAAAACAGAAATTTCTGGAAAAGCTCAGCAGGTCTGGCAGCAGAAGTTCTGAAGAAGGGTCACCGGACCCGAAATGTTAACTCTGATTTCTCTTCACAGATGCTGGCAGACCTGCCGAGCTGTTCTAGCAACTTCTGTTTTTGTTGTCCATAATGATACTGCCTTGCTCTTTCACATGAAGCCTCTGAAATTTCATTGCCTGCACCTCAGCAGCCTCTTGCCATAGCAGGTGTTGAACTGACACCACTACCTACAGAAGGAGAAATTCCTGTCTTAGAAGCTGAGGAGTCTTCATCTCCTCCCCTCCACCACAATTGTCAGAACATGCATTGTTACCCTGATATATTACATGCAACCCCAAATCAGCCAGCAAAGCAGATAGATAGGACAGTGAGGATTTTACATATTTGTCTGCCTTTTTATGGATGTGATCGTTAGAGTGTTAGACTCTTTTCCCTTGAATCAGTTTTTCATTCATTGTATCATACCTGCGACAGGAGAAGTGCACTGTTGCTATAGTCCTACTACACTTCAGGTCACAACATAAATAAAATGCTAAACCAAATCATATGCTTTCTCTATATTAGACTTAGAATGAAATGATCCATCGACCAGGTATCTTTAGTAAACAGAACATTTTTAATTTATTATAAAACAAACCTGTCTGGTGAAGGTGCAGTATTGGTTAACAGATACAAATTGTAATCTGAAAATACAAACGTTTATCACCATAAATAGCCAAAAGCGCGTGCACACATGCACAGATACACCATCATGCCTGCATAAACACAAAGGTGAAATGTTGCAGTTACTGAACATTTGAAATTTAATAAGAAGTTGGAAATACTCAGTAAATCAGGCAGCGTTTGTGTTGAGAAAACACAAAGTAACATTTCAAGTTAATGACCATTTGTAAGAACTGCAGAAAATTGGCGGTCATTTCATGTCATGATTCCAGTTGATGGTGATACAGGACAGATCAGGTCTGCAACCTGGCTTGATGCACCATAAGTTTTCCTTTTTAATTTTAATTATCACCATGGTCAGTCACTGGATGTGTTCAAAAGAGATTGTCAATTTACTTTTAACAAAAGAACATCAAATGTTATTACACGTAAAAGGAAAAAAAGAGAAATTATTTTCCACTGTTCAAGAACTATTCTTTTTACAAATATCAGAAGTAAAGATTTAGTCCTTTCACCAAACACAACTTTATAGGTACTTAAACCTCAGTGAAGGGTAACTAATTTCCATGACAAGTTCCTTCAAGAGTTAGCATAGCTGTACTTGTTTTCTTTCCAACAAACATCAGCAGTCACTTCATGATAGTTACTGTATCTTCATGAAACCCTAAACTAACTGCTAACACAGCTCACCTGTTTCTAAATATGGATTCCTCAAACTCCTCTTTCACAGCTTTCTGGTTCTGGAGCTGTCTATTATTGATATTAAACCACTCAGGACTTTGGTTGTAGACATTCTCACGGAGCCGGTGGGTTTGGTTGCAGACATTTTGTCACCCTGCTAGGTAACATCGTCAGTGCGCCTCCGGTGAAGCGTCGGTGTTCTGTCCCGCTTGTTATTTATATGCCTCGGTTGCTGGGGTGGTTGGCATCACTTTGGTTTTGTTTCTCAGTGGTTTGTACACAGGATCTAATTCAATGTGTTTGTTGATGGAGTTCCGGTTGGACTACCAGGCCTCCAGGAATTCCCTGCTGTGTCTCTGTTTGGCTTGTACGATTGCTGATGTGTTGTCCCAGTCGAATTCGTGTCCATCATTATCTGTGCGTAGTGAGACAAGTGAGAATTGGTCGTGTCTCTTGGTCGCTACTTGGGACAACACATTAATAATCTCACAAGTCAAACAGAGACACGCCAGGGAATTCCTGGAAGCCTGGTATTCCAACCAGAACTCCATCAACAAACACATTGATTTAGACAGAAGTTGCTGGAAAAGCTGAGCAAGTCTGGCAGCATCTCTGAAGAAAAAAACAGAGTTAACATTTCGGGTCCAGTGACCCTTCCTCAGAAAAGAAACGTTAACTCTGTTTTTCCCTTCACCGATGCTGCCAGACCTGTTGAGCTTTTCCAGCAATTTCTGTTTTTGTTCCTGATTCACAGCATCTGCAGTTCTTTCGGTTTTTACATTGATTTAGACCGTGTGTACAAAGTATTGAGAAACAAAACCAGAAGTAATACCAACCAGCCAAGTAAACCAAAGCATATAAGTAACAAGCGGGACAGAGCACCAATGCTTCACCGGAGGTGCACTGATGATGTTATGTAGCAGGGTGATGAAATGTTTGCAACCAAACCCACTGGCTCGGCGAGTGTATCTACAACCTCATCTTGACCCGAGTTACAAATCTTCTCGAAAACTTTAAACCACTTGACTTATTTTCAGCCCAAATTGCTTTGGAGACTTTTAAGCTGGCAGCACCTTTGCTGATAAAGATCTGTTCTATCTGACAGGAACCTGCTCACTCACTGGGGAAAAAGCCTTCTCGATGGTTCTTTTTAAAAGAACTGTTCTCTCTCTCCCCGTGTCATAGGACACCTTGTTGCTAGGAAACAGGCCATTTTTTCTCTCTCTTGTACTCAAGGGGAATTTACCTCAAGGGTTGTCTTTTTAAAACCTCATTTAAATGCATGTAAGCACATTTCCAGGCGCCCCAGTACTGCTCGCAGAACTCAAAAAAGAAGCTAAAGCATGTCCTTCTTAACAATGTAGAATTACAAATCAGGGTTAAGGTTATATTTGGTACTGTCTACTTTAGAATCCAGGCTTCCAAATAATAATCTGAAACAAAAACAGAAATTGCTGGAAATTCTCCACAGGTCTGGCAGCTTCTGTGGAGCAAAAACAGAGATAAAGTTTCGGTTCTCGATGCTGCCAGACCTGCTGAGATTTTCCAGCAATTTCTAGTTTTGTTTGAAATTTCCAGCATTTGCAGTTCTTATGCTTTTTTTCATCATAATATATAGTGAACATTCATTGCAATAGAATTTCAGCAAGTATGGAGCAAGGCAACCTTTGGGAGGATAGAGAACAAATGGGTACAATTTAAATGGCAAGGGATGATGGTGCAAGGCAAAATGAGATGGCAATATGTCTTGAAGATGTGTAGATGGATATAATAGAATCATTACCAACAGTGTGGAATAAATGGGGCAGAGTTTATGATCTGAAATTGAGTGTGCACCAACATTTTGTTAATATCTGTATAACAGCTGTCAAAGTACATGGTTAAAAAATATCTTTGCTTCAGTAATTGTTCATGTCTGAGATTTAGTCATATTTAATCCTCTCCATATGTCAGTAATAAAAGCAAAATACTACGGATGTTCAAATTCTGAAATGAAAACAATGAATTTGAAAAATTCGGCAGCTCAGGCAGCATTTGGGAAAGAGAAACTCTACTAATATTTAAAGTCGAGTGAAGCTTCACAGTTCCTATGTCAATCATTCTTTTTTTGACTCACCTGTGTTTTCTTTGGTATCCCATAAACAAGTAGACAAAAGTTTCAAAAACACAAGTTGCTGGAAAAGCTCAGCAGGTCTGGCAGTGTCTGTGAAGAAAAGATCAGACTTAATGTTTCAGGTCTGAGGAAGGGTCACCGGACCCAAAACATTAACTCTGACTTTTTCTACACAGATGCTGCCAGACCTGAGCTTTTCCAGCAACTTCAGTTTTTGTTCCTGATTTACAGCATGCACAGTTCTTTCGGTTTTTATTTTATAGTGGAGTCAGACTGTTTCTTCCTCCGCTGATGCTGTCCAATCTACAGTTTCTCTGGCACTTTGTTTTTTGTTTCTTTCAGATTTCCAGCATCCCTAGATTTTTTCTTTTAACTGAAAGGAAATTGGACTGATATAACTGAAATACAAAGAGGGTTTCCAGCTTGAAAAGTGCTGCATATTTTTGAGCTGGGCAATGTTGTTTTTGAAAGCCATAAAGAAGGAAATGAAAGACTGAGCAGTGCCAAGATTCTTTGAGTTAAGGAAATACTACCCGATGGCAACCTCTTGATTGGTTGAGCTGCAGAGTATAAAAGATCTGAGTGTGCCAGGGCAGCACAGAGAAGGGAAAGCTTCTAAAGTCTTCAAACTGAAAGTATGGTCTCTCACCCAGCCTCAACAATCCCGTGTAGTAAATCAATCCATAATAAAAACAGAAGTTGCTGGAAAAGCTCAGCAAGTCTCGCAGCATCTGTAAAGAAAAAAATCAGAGTTAACATTTCGGGTCTGTTGACCCTTCCTCGGAACTGATGGTAGCTGGGAAAACATCAATTTATATGCAGAAAATAGGGAGGGGGGTGGAGTAGGGGGTAAACAATAGGATAGAACCTAAAGGGAGAGAAGAGAGGTTGGACAGACAAAAGGAGTTGATAACGATCAGGCTGGGAGGGTGAATAGTTGTTAATGGGGGCAGTTAGTGATTAACAATAGGTAGTGTGTAACGGCAACCTATATGATAACAAGGATTGGTATGTGAGGTAAGGGGCTAGGATAAGGGAGAGTTTAGGCCCTAAAATTATTGAACTCGATATTGAGTCCAGACAAAAGTTTCACTATTCACTTCAGTGTGCTTTGTGTGTCTGTCTGTAACCTTGTCATCTATACGAATAACCTACCATCTTCTAAACGTTTCGGGTCCGTTGACTTCTAAAGTATTTCTGTTGAACTGACCTTTCACCTTCTGCAACATTCTAATGTATCTATACTGTTCCTTTACTTTTTATTACTACTGTCCCTTATATTAGGATGATTAAAAATGTGCTCTATACTTCCAACTCTCTCGACAATATGTTCAACCATGTTCTTTCCTTCTGCACTATATATCCAACAAATCTACAATCTGTTTACCTTTTCACAATGTGATCTACTCACGCTTCCATCTCTACTCCATTGTAATTCTGATTAAATGTATTTAAAGGTATTTATTTCACATGTAGTCTCAGGATAAGAGATCAGCCATCCAGGGCTCAGATGAGGAGAATCATAGAATTGATGTGGTGCAGAAGGAGGCATTTCGGCCTATTGTGTCTTCACTGGCTTTCTGATCATTTTAATTTAGTGTCAGTATCCTGCCTTTAACCATAACCTGCGTATAACAAGGTGTAGAGCTGGATGAACACAGCAGGCCAAGCAGCATCAGAGGAGCAGGAAAGCTGATGTTTCGGGCCTCGACCCTTCTTCAGAAATGGGGGAGGGGAAGGGGATTCTGAAATAAATAGGGAGAGAGGGGAAGGCGGATAGAAGATGGAAAAATGAGAAGATAAATGGAGAGGAGACAGACAGGTCAAAGAAGCGGGGATGGAGCCAGTAAAGGTGAGTGTAGGTGGGGAGTAAGGGAGAGGGTAGGTCAGTCCAGGGAGGACGGACAGGTCAAGGGGGCGGGATGAGACTAGTAGGTAGGAGATGGGGGTGGGGCTTGAGGTGGGAGGAGGGGATAGGTGGGAGGAAGGACAGTTTAGGGAGGCGGGGACAAGCTGGGCTGGTTTTGGGATGTGGTAGGGGGAGGGGAGATTTTGAAGCTTGTGAAGTCCACATTGATACCATTGGGCTGCAGGGTTCCCAAGCAAAATACGAGGTGCTGTTCCTGCACCCTTCGGGTGGCATTGTTGTAGCACCCCCATCTCCTACCTACTAGCCTCGTCCCGCCCCCTTGACCTGTCCATCCTCCCTGGACTGACCTGTCCCCTCCCTAACTCCTCACCTACACTCAACTTTACTGCCTCCACCCCCGCCTCTTTGACCTGTCTCTCTCCTCTCCACCTATCTTCTCCTTTATCCATCTTCTATCGGCCTCCCCCTCTCTCCCTATTTATTTCAGAATCCCCTTCCCCTCCCCCATTTCTGAAGAAGGGTCTAGGCCTGAAACGTCAGCTTTCCTGCGCCTCTGATGCTGCTTGGCTTGCTGTGTTCATCCAGCTCCACACCTTGTTGTCTCAGATTCTCCAGCATCGGCAGTTCCTACTATCTCTGAAACAACCATAACCTGCATATTATTTTAACTTAACTAATCATCCAACAGCATCTTGAATGCCTCACTTGTACAAACCTCTATCACTCAGACAATGCATTGCTGCCCTAATTACTTCTGGTGTGGAAAAAAATATATAATCTCATGTTTTTGTGTTTTGCAAAACATTTCAAAACTCTGTCTACTCGTTTTCGATCCATTTATGAGTTGAAATTGTTTCTCCCTATCCTGACCCTTCATGATATTAAAAAACTTCAATCAACTCCCCTTTTAGCCGCCTCCTCTCCAAAGAAACTAATCCCATCTTCTCTAATCTTTCGTCATAACTAAAGTATCTTGTCCCTGGAACCATTCTCATGAACCGCATTATCATTGTTCGGTTTATTTTCACTGAAAACGTTGTGAATTTTTGGAATTCTGTAACACAGAGGAATCAACACCCAGTCAATGAGCGTATTCAAGACTAAAATTGATTGGTATTTGGCACTCTCAACATCAAAAGGTG